GCCCGGCCGGGGCGGGGGACGGAGGGGGGTGCCCTGTGAGTTGGGGTCCTGGTCTCCCACGAAAGCCGGGTCGGCGCCCGCAGCCAGCCGTGCACTGCGAGGCGACCCGGCTCTTCGGGGAGCCTGGGGGCGCGCGCGGGTCCGGTCGGGTCTGGACGGGGCGCGGGCTCAGGACCCGCCTCAGGGACGCGAGTGGGAGTTGGGGGCGGCGGTGTGGGAGTCGGGCAAAGGTGAGCGCGGCGGGCGTGGGCGGAAGGGACGCGGCGGCGGGAGCCGACGGGAGAGGCCGCGCGCGGGGCCGCCGGGCCCGCTTGTATGGTGCGTGAGCCGGAGTGCTGTCCCCGTCCAGGTACTTCGATGTCGCCACCTCCGCGCCACACCTGAGCCTGGGCGTGGGAGAGAGCGAGCCAGAACTTCTGGAACCTGGTAAAGAATGTTAGAGGAGGGCCTTTTTGTTTACTTATTTTTTTTTCCCCATTAGTGAAACAAAAAAATCGATTGCAAACCATTCTGGGCCTCCAAGTGGAAACCGTACTGTTCCAACACAGTACTATCAAAAAGTTAAGTACCTCCTCCTTGTGCTAAGAAGCCCAGAGGAAAGTGGCACAGCGGGGTCTGCAGGGGGAATTCAAGGACCTGCCCAGGAGCCCAGCGGGGAATCAGAGGGGAGCAATGTTCATTCATTCACTCACACTTCCGGCAGACACTGTTGACGTCTCCCTGTGAGCCCGGGAGTGGAGGACAGGGCGGGAAACAAACCCTGTGGTGCTTATGTTAACACGGGATGAAAAATGTCCTAGCGAGGAATATTCTCAGGAAGGAGAGCCAGCAGAGAGGTACCAAACAGGCACCGCAGCTCCGCCACAGCGGGGAGAGGACAGCTTCTGTCTCATCCTAGTGCTTCCCTTCTAACCTGGACCTGATGCCAGAGTCAGATTAAGGGACAGGTCGGCTGGAAAGCAGCCTGGGTTTGAAAGGTCTCTGAATTACTCTTGGAATAATTCAAATATTTGGTGCCAGTGAACTCTGATGTCTATGACTTAGTGAAAGAGAAGTGGGCTCCCATTCAGTGACAGACAGCCCACTAGGACTCCTTACCTGGACTGCCCGTTTCTGGTGTGATTTGCAGAATGACGCTGCAAGTTGCACAGTATAACCCGGAGGCCTGCAAGCTGACAGTTGCCTAAGGACAACAGTTACAGCTGGAATTCTCAAAATGCAGGCTGCATTGTGAAGCGTTACTCCCCAGGACAGAAATTTATGCCATTTCTACTTTTTTTTTTTTTTTTTTGGTAGGAGGGAGGAGAGGAGCAGCACTGGGGATAAAGAACCCACGGCCTCATGCACGTTAGGTAATTATTCCACCACTGAGCTGGGTCCCCACCCTTTTGTGTAGTCTTAAGTGGTTTAATTTGTCCACCAAGAGTTGTCTACCTAGGAAAATTGCACGTGACCAATTCATCTCTAATTTTGAATATAAAGAGGCTTACACAGTTTTTATTCTGAGAAAACTGGTATTCCCCGACCTCTGCTGAGCACACATTTCACAGTACTCAGCAGAGGCGCCGTTTCCTAAGTCTGGCCCTGATGCCCCGGCACGGCTGGCTTTTACCTGGTGACTTAGACTCACCTGTTCATGCCACCTGCACCGACTCCGGGCGAGTGCCTGGCTGTCCCCATAGGTGGTTTCGTTGGTGTGCGTTATCTTCCTGGGCTTGCTGGAAACTTGGGATGGGATGAAGTCTCACTGCCCGATCTCACTGTGGGATCGTACGCCCTCTGCGGGACTAGGCATGATCTGTGAGCGGGAGGAGGTAGAGGAGAAAAAGGAATGAGAGGGGCAGGGGAGGCAGGGAGTGGTAAGGGCCTCAGGAGGGCGCTGTAAACCGCAGGGGACTCTTTCCTGCTTCCTTCCTTTTGTTTTTTTGTTTTTTGTTTTTTTTGAGACAGGGTATGGCCTTGAACTCACTGTGTAGCCCAGGCTGGCCTTGAACTTGCGACAGTCCTGCCTCAGCCTCCTGAGTGGTGGGATTACAGGCGGGCACCGCTATGCCTGGGTCTGCAGAGGCCTCTGAAGTATTCCGTGAATGTCGGGAGGACAAGCGGAGGCTCAGGGTGGAGGAGGCACCTGGAGGCTGCAAGCATCCCGGCCCCCGGGTCTGACCCGGCAGTCCCGGCTCCAGCCCGTCCCCCGGCTCCTCCCCGCTGCGGGGCAGAGAGTCGCACATGTGTTTTCCTGTTTTCCATTTCGGTCCTGTCACCCTCTGCCTTTCTGCGCCTCAGAGTCCACAGAGCTGCAGCAGGGGCCTCACCCCGCCCCAGTTACTCGCACCTTCCCGTGCCCGCAGAGTGCTGGGGTCCCCCCTCCCCGCGGTAGCCCAAAGGGCAGGTAAGAGGCGGGGCGGCAGGGCGGACGGGTGAGGCGGAGAGGAGAGGAGGATGCAGTGGGTCCCGGGAACTGGCTGAGGGAAAGCCAGCGCGCCTCATTTCCCAGTCCCAGTCCTGCCGAGGCAGAACCTGCTGCCCGGGACTCCAGCTCTCCCTTTTTGGTAGCTGTTTCTGCCGCAGAAGTAAACAGTTTCGTTCTTGCTTCACTTGTTTTTTTTCTTTTTAAAGGGACGGTCTTAGCTACAGTGGAATATAGAAAAGTAAATGGGGAGCTGGGGAAGGAGGCGCTGAGCGGAAGTGATGGGGCCCCCGGCCGTACCGGCGTGCAGTGCCCTTCTGCCGTCAGGGGAGCAGGAGGCAGCCCACGGGGTCCCTGGGGAGCACGCGTGTGATTACAGGAGCGCGTTTGGAAGCGGGGGAGCGAAGGACAGCGTCTTCTGGACGGCTTTCCGTGCATTCGAGGCTGTCTTGGGAGACGTCGTCCCGAGCGTGGCTGAGGAGCCCCGACGCCGAGCTTCCTGCCGTTTCCCGGGGGAGGTGTGTTTGTTCTTGCCATTGCAGGGTGGGGTCTGGTCTTGGGCTTCCCCTGGCTGCTCTGCCAGGTGCTGCACGCCGGGCGTCCTGTTGCCTGCTTCCCTGAACCCTTGGATGTGAAACTTCTTCCGCAGGCTGTGGGAACCGTGCAGTCTTGTGCACTCTCCAAAGCGTCTGCGGGCTGAGTGCGCCCGAGAGCGGCAGGATAATGCGAGGAGCTCAGCTCCTAAGGCTTCTGGACCGCCTGGGAGGGCCCCTTCCCGAGCGTCTGGGGCAGCATCTGGCTGCCTGGATGGTGGAGGCATCAGCTTGAGACTCAGAGTGAAGGTGGTTCCTTCCTTCCCACGGTGTTAGCAGTGGCGGAGAAAGAGGGGGACTTCTCCTGGAAGGCAGCCTGCCCTGCGGGGGGAGCAAGGGCTGACCGCAGAGGCTGGAGCGGCCGCTAGGGGACGCTCTTTGCCGGGGTGTGGATGCCTCCTGGGCAATCCCGCTCTAGATTCCTTCAGAGGAGTCCACTTGTCTGAGAGCACCAGTCAGGAATTCAGTCTTGCACAACTTCCCTCCTCAGGCTCCTCAGTGTTTTCCCTTGCTCTGAGGCTCGTTCCCTTTCTTGATGTCATATGAGGATGCGTGCCGTCTTTGGGGCTGCGGATTTGATCTTAAAGGGCAAGGTGTGACGCTGTGTATGTGTGTGTTTATGTTTGCTGTAGAAGGGGGCAGACCCTCGCAGTCCAGCGCTGCCACCCTTGCCTGCCCCCCCCCCCGACCCCATGAGAGGGCGGAGCAGCAGGACAGAGCTGAGCCAGCTCTAGCCTAGGCTCCGGAGGAAGGGCGGCAGACCTTGTGTTAAGCACATCCTCCCCCAGGTAATTCACTAGGGGGCCACGGGATGCTTTCCTTTTTTTATCTTTTTTTGCGGTACCGGGAATCGCACTCACATCCTTGTGCTTGCCAGGAAGGTGCTTATGCCACTGAGCTATACCCCCAGCCCAGGATGCTTTCCTATGGCAAAGGAAGGACCGGGCAGCCTAGTAGAGAGGTGGGGAGTTGGGGAGACAGCCCTGTGACTGAGAGTGTGTGCTCTGGGGTCAGCCGCTCGCGTTCTCTACGCTGGCATCTCACAAGGGACTTTGTAGCTGCCCTCAGGTCTACAGGGAGAGTTTAACGAGATCCCAGTGCTCAGCAGTGTGTCTGGCCCGGGCAAGTGCTCCACAAGTACTAGCTATTACTATTATTACAGGAGTGCTTGCGGGCGTGGTGGCGCATGCCTGTAATCCCAGCACTTGGGAGGCTGAGGCAGGAGGATTGTTGCGAGTTCGAGACCAGCCTGGGCTACAAAGCAAGTTCAAGACCAGCTTGAACTGCATAGTGAGACCCTGTCTCAAAAAGACAAAAACAAAACAAAACAATATATTAGTGCTTTTGGAAGTGATGAGAGAAAAAAGGACAGTGTCTTCTGGATGGATTTCATATGTATTCGAGGCTGTCTTGGGAGACATGGTCCCAGAGGCCCCTCCTGGGTTTAAATAAAAAGTTTAAGGGGTCTGGGCACCGTGTTGCACACTTGTAATCCCAAACTGGGAGGCTGAGATAGGAGGCCTGAAAGTGCAAGCCCAACCTGGGCAATTTAGCAACTTAGTGAGACTCTATCTCAAAAAAAAAAAAAGTTGGGTGTGGTGGCACATGACTGTAATCTCAGCACTCAGGAGGCTGGTGCAGGAGGGTCACTGAGAGTTGGAGGCCGGCCTGGGCTTGCTAGTGAGTTCCAGGATAGCCTGGACTGCGTAGCAAGACCCTGACTCAAAAAATTAATGAAAAAGTGGGGGAAGGCTTGGAATGTAGCTCCTTGAGAAGGTCTTGGAATCAATTCCCAGCATAAAAAAAAAAAAAAAAGGTTAAGTGGCTACAAAGGGACAGACACAGGAGATTTCAGAATGGATAGGTTGAGCTGGGTGTGGTGGTGCATGTCTGTAATCCCAGTATTTGGGAGGCTGAGGCAGGAGGATTGTCTCAAGTTTGAAGCCAGCCTGGGCTACATAGTGAGTTCAAAGTCAGCCTGCACAAAAGTGAGATCCTGTCTCCAAAGCGGGGGGGAAAAAGGTAGTGTTTCTGTAAGCAAAAGAGAATTTCAGGCTGGTCTTGAACTCACTAGGTAGCCCAGGTTGGCCTGGAACCCTTGGTGACCCTTCTGCCTCAGCCTCCTGAGTGCTGGGAATACAGGTGTGCCTCACCATGCCTGGTTAGAATACCACATTTGAAGCAGACAATAAAGATAGCATAAACTATGTTTTCCAAAAAAGTGGTTAACTTCTGCTGCTTGTTAGGTCAGGATCTTACTTCCTTTTTCTTTTTCAATTTGCTAGGCAAGCACTTTCTCTGAGCTACACCCCTCACCCTTCCTGTATTTTTAAGAAATCAGAGTAAACCTGTAGTTGGAGGTGTTTGTAGGAGTCTGTGGATACTCCAGGCACCTGGCTGTGTTTTCCCAAGGATGAAAGGGCACGTGGGTGGGGCGGAGCTGCAGCCAGAGGTTGAGTTTATTGCCTGACCTTGTTTCCTTCAGGAGCATGACACTCAGACTTTGGGGTAATGGCCGGAGGTTGGCGGCAGCCACCAGCTCTGTGCATGGGGAAGTGTGCAGCTCTCTGCTTGGGACACCAGTCACGCGTGTGAGGGCTGCTCTTACACTTCCTCTAATCTCGGCTGTGGACCGGCCCCTGGGTCGCACCCTGCAACCTTCCTGCCTTTTTTTTTTTTTTTTTTTTTTTTTTTGGTTTTTCTCCGGTACCGGGACCCGAACTCACGACCTTGCGCTTGCCAGGCAGGCGCTTTGCCGCTGAGCTAAATCCCCAGCCCCATCTTCCTGCCTTTCTTAACAGTTTGGGGTGAGAGAGAAGGGAGGCCAGGGTGGGACTGTAGGGCATGCAGTATGATCTGCACCGGCCGCGGTCCTCAGCTAACCTGCTCCCAGGGCAGAAAGCAGACACCGGGGGCACCCAGCTGGCTGAGCTGTCTTCTGGGCTCCCCGGCCCAGCAGAGCTGACGAAGGAGATTCCTGAGCGTGCGCCTTCTTATCGGGAAAATGCTGAGCCAAGAGCTCCTTGCCACCCCTCTCGCAGATGCAGAGGCCTGTGAACCTTGGACCCAGACAGTTGCTCAACGTTGCTCTTCCTTTCCCTCGGCCCCTCCACCCTTCTTGACTGGACTTAAATCCATGGGCCCTTGTCTGGTCTCCCTTTCACTGCTGGCTGGAGGGAGAAACAGACACGTTGAGTCTCCTGACTGGCGCTGCGGGGAACCTGCGCAATCAGGGCCAGGAGTGAGTGTGTGTCCCTCGCTGTCCCCTGCCCGCTCTTCTCGCTCGCCCCCTTCGCTTCTCTGCTGTGTCTGCCACTTCCTCCCCCGTGCCCCTGGCCTTCTCATCCCGCCCTTGCCGGAGCAGCACTGCTGCTTTCCGCTTAGCTCGCCTGGCTGTTCCCTGCCTCGGTTCTGGGCGCGACCTCCGCCGCGCACCTCTAGGTTGGGCTGTACGCTGGGGTCGCCCTCCTCTCGTTCATACTTGTTTGGGTGACGCACCTATGCTACTGTGATGGGTTTGACGGCCGGAGACCTGACGTGCCGGGCCCTGGGAGAGGTGTTAGGGAAAGGAAAGGCAACAAGAGAGGAGCAAGCTACTGTCTTCTGCAGGGTGGGGTGGGGCTGCTCGGGCTTCTCCAGGGATTAGGATGACAGCTGCAGGTGGTTGACAGAGGAGGTTTACGCAGGGTCAGCGCGTGTGACATCCCAGCACAGGCGACAGGTGAGACGGAACTGGGTGAGGCTGAGAACTCAGGCCCAGACCACGCTCCGGCCTCTCTTGTGCCGCAGCAGCCTCAGGTGGAGCCAGGGTGTGGTCGCTCAGGTGAACCGGCCATCCTGATTAGGAGCGGCGCCTGCCCTTAAACATGCAAGCTGGGCTTGTTCCACTGAGCCCGCCTGAGAGGAGGCGGCAAGAGCGGTCTGCGGAGCGGTGGGCAGCGCCGGCTGGCCTCTGCGGGGCGGGAGAGGGTCTGCCCCGCAGCCGCTCGGCACAGCGCATCCTCTCTCTTCTTCAGAGGGCGATGCCAGGAGGCTGGTGAAGGCTTTGCTGGCCTCTACCATGGTTGACGACGGCAAGGGCAAGTACGAAGTGGCCCCCCAGCACGAGGCCGCGGCCTCCCCCGCGGGCGACGGGGCCGGACCCGGGGCCGAGCAGGTGAAGCTGAAGAAGGAGATCTCGCTGCTTAACGGCGTGTGCCTGATCGTGGGGAACATGATCGGCTCGGGCATCTTTGTCTCCCCCAAGGGCGTGCTCATGTACAGTGCCTCCTTTGGCCTCTCGCTTGTCATCTGGGCCGTCGGGGGCCTCTTCTCCGTCGTTGGGGCCCTTTGCTATGCGGAACTGGGCACCACCATTAAGAAATCCGGGGCCAGCTACGCCTACATCCTGGAAGCCTTCGGCGGACTCCTCGCCTTCATCCGCCTCTGGACCTCCCTGCTCATCATCGAGCCCACCAGCCAGGCCGTCATCGCCATCACCTTTGCCAACTACATGGTGCAGCCCCTCTTCCCGACCTGCCGCGCCCCCTACGCCGCCAGCCGCCTCCTCGCTGCTGCCTGCATTTGTAAGTGTGGTCGGGCCGCAGATGGGGTGGAGGACTGGGAGAGTGGAGATGTGAGTCCAGTCAGGCAGTTGCGGGGAGCCGGAGAGGACTGCCCCTGACAGCACTTATGTTTGCTGTTGTTAAATTAACGTGTGCACCCCGGTGTGGTGGTGCACACCTGTAATCCCAGCACTTGGGAGGCTGAGGCAGGAGGATCGCTGTGATTTCAAGGTCCGCCTGAATTAGTACCAAGACCCTGGCTCAAGAAAAAAAGAAAAACGGATCATACTGTTGTACATACACTACTATGGTATGCTTCTCCCTCTAGCATTCATGTTCTCCTCTATTTACAGGTTTACTTTCTTGTTTTTTTTTTAATTTTTTTTTCTTTTTTTTTTTTCCAGTACCGGGAACTGAACTCATGACCTTGCGTTTGCCAGACAGGCGCTGTGCCCCTGAGCTAAATCCCCAGCCCCCTTATTTTGTTTTTTTGAGACAGGCTCTTGCTGTGCAGTCCAGGCTGACTTTGGACTCACTACATAGCCCAGGCTGGTCTCAAACTCTCAGTGATCCTCCTGCCTCTCAAGTACTACAGGTGTACACCACCATGCCTAGCTAGATCTACTTTTTTTTTTTTTTTGAATGCTTCATGCTATTCCGTGTTAGTTTAAGGATGTCCTGTGTTTTATTTAGCTAGCCAGTTCTGTTATTGGCCATGTACATTGGTTTCAGTAGAGGTACTGTTCCAGTGAATATTCTTTGGCACTTTCATGAGTATTTTCAATTGATAGATTTGAAATTGGTGCATAGAATTGTACATACTTATAGGGTAGAGTGTGGTAGATCAACACATGTGTATAGCGTGTGATGATCAGATCAGCATAACTGCCCGTCTGTCTCCTCAGACACAGTTTGTTTGTATTGGGAACATTCAAAATCCTCTTTTAGCTACTTGTAATTAATTGTTGTCAACCACAGCTTTTCTACCCTACAAGTTCTTCCTGCTTCCCACCTGCATTCCTGTGCCCTCTGACCGTGTCTCCATTCCTCTTTCCATCTGCGTGCTCCAGCTCTGGGCACCACTGTTCTAGTCTTTCCTTCTTTAAGAGCTGCTTTAGTGTCTGCTTGTAAGTAAGGACCTGTGGTATCTGGCTTTTTGAACCTTATTTTACTTAACATGATATCCTCCAATCCCTTCCATTTTTGTGCTAATGACAAAATCTCATTGTTTTCATGGTTGCATGGTATTCCACTGTGAGAGTACTACGTTTCCTGTATCCACAGGGACACACTGCACTATTGTGAGTGGCGCCATGAGAACACGAGAGGGCAGCTGTCTGCTTGCCACACTGATGTCGTTTCCTGTGGGTATATTCCCTGTTCTCAGGGGTGGTTTTTCTGGATCACGTGGTAGTTCTATTTTTATTTATTTATTTATTTATTTTGGTACCGGAAATCGAACTCAGGATTTTGCACTTGCCGCTTGTGCTGTGCTATATCTGCACCTTGTGCCGCAGGTGCTTGTGCCGCTGAGCTATATCCCTGGCCAGTTCTAATTCCCCCCACCCCAGTATCAGGAATCGAACTCAGGACCTTGCTCTTGGCGGGCAGGTGCTGTGCCGCTGAGCTAAATCCCCAGCCCCCAGTTCTAATTTTTTGAGAGGCTTCCTTACTGTTTTCCGTAATGGCAGTACCAGTTACATTCTCACTGACATTTCCCTTTTCTCTGCATTCTGGTCAGCATTTTCTATTACTGTCATTATAACTGGGGTGAGATCTCATTGTGGGATTTTTTTTTTGTAATGGGAATCAAACCCAGGGCCTTACACATGCTAGGAAATGCACTATCACTGAGCTGAATTTTTTTTTTTTTTTTTTTTTTAATGTTGTAGAACATTCTCACTAAGCTGTACAGGCTAGCCTCAATCCTGTGATCCTCCTGCCTCAGCCACCTGTCTTGGGAAGACAGGTGTGAACTATTATGCCTGGCTTGATTCATTTTTAGTTGATTTTTGTCTATGATGAGAGATAGGGGTCTAATTTTTCTTTTGCATATGGATTTCCAGTTTTTTTCTATCACCATTTATTGTAGACACTTTTATTCTTTTATTTTTTATTTTTTTTGTCTTTTTGACACAGGGTCTTGCTATGCAGTTCAGGCCAGCCTTGATCTCACTTTGTAGCCCAGGTTGGTCTTGAACTCACAACGATCCTCCTGCCTCAGCCTCCTGAGCACTTGGATTACAGGCGTGTGCCACCACACCCAGCAGAAACTTTTATTCTTTTTTTTTTTTGGTTTTTCTCCGGTACCGGGAACCGAACTCACGACCTTGCGCATGCCAGGCAGGCGCTTTTGCCACTGAGCTAAATCCCCAGCCCCTAGAAACTTTTATTCTTCAATATGTATTCTTGCTGTCTTTTTAAAAAATCAGTGACTGTAAATAGGTAGGTTTATTTATGAGCTCTCTGTTCTGTCCCATTGGTCTATGTATCTTTTTTTTTTTTTGAGACAGGGTCTCGCTCTGTAGTTGAGGCTATACTTGAACTCACTATGTATCATAGGCTGTATGTGAGTATCATATAATACTCACTATGTATCATAGAGCTCACTTTGTAGCCCAGCCTGGTCTCAAACTCACAATGATCCTCCTGCCTCAGCCTCCCATAGATCTAATATGTCTATATGATACAATTTTTATGTAGCAACATTGGGTGCATAAATATTTTCAGTTGTTACTTCCTATTGTTGAATTGATCTGTGTCATTATATAGTGACCTTCTTTGAGTCTTTCCGTTTTTTTTTTTTTTTTTTTCCTTTCTTTTTGAGACTGAGTCTTGCTTGTGGCTCAGGCTGGCCTTGAACAATGCTCCTGCCTTAGTCTCCAAATGCTGGGATTACAGAAGTGCACCACCACACCAGGCCGCTTTGTTTCTTTTTCTTTTTTTCCATTTCG